ATCTATCTATCTATCTATCTATCTATCTATCTATCTATCTATCTATCTATCATCTATCAATTATCATATTGATGCAGTCTTCATAAATTGTGCTGATTTGCATATTTCAAGTTATACAAAGCAATGTTTGTATTTAAAGAGCCATAATTTATTAGCTAATAGCAGCATACCTTTAATGAAGGCAGAGGAGCAGTTTCATTGAGACCTGCAAATCCAAGAGACTCTTGCCAGGACTTCAGTCTTTTTTTTTAAAAAAAGGCTGCCTCAGCTGCATAGGAAGAACCTAATTTGTGTAGGGTGGTACTTTAGATGGAAGTGGAGTGGCGGGTAGAAATTGTACTGACCCATGCAAACTGCTGCTATGTCCACAAAGTCATCAGGACTTGGACTTTTGAGTCAAGGAGGATATAAGTCCAAGCAGTAATTAGGATGACAATCTGAAGAGTCACTTAAGGTATCACAAATCCTTCACTTGCTCTAGTGTGGTAAATTCTAAAGACAGTTTCAAAGTCAGTGCATTTTGCAAGTGCTTTGGACTTTATTTCAAGTCAGCTTTCTCAGTGGAATGAATACCATTATTCAGACTGCATTGCTGTCTTCTGCATCTGATGACATTTTATTCAAGGCTGCATCAGATCTACCGCAAAAATACCAGTAGGACCTATTTGCCAATGTTTACCTGGGCAACTGCTAACCTTCCTTTCTATATGTAAGGAGGAGAGCTAAACATCACCCACTGTAAAAGATCCAGCCTACCTCCTACTAGTAGAAGATAATATCCTGTTTTCTATGGTGTCTTTGCTACTGTTTTTAAAGGTGAGACCCTAGAAGATTTAACCCTGACAACATCGTAGAAACATCTACAAAAGGGAAAGCACACTGCTGTCCTTTTATACAATGAGAAAAATACCCAGACCCAGCTTGACTGTTTCAACAGCCCTGGCTGACTTTGCCTCACCTGTTGATTGCAACTATGGGGTGAAAGTGCAGTTTTTTACAAGATATTGTAACAGGAAAGTTATGTTAGTCTGTGCTGGCAAAAAATCAGAAGGAATCTGGTAGAACTTTTTCAACTAACAAATGTTACTTAAAAAGTGTAAGCTTTCATGAGCTGCACTTCACTTCATCAGATGTGAGCTCCAGTTCACAAAAACGTATGCTACCAGATTCCTTCAGATGTTTTTGTTACACGAGTTAACATTCACAGGCCTTCTGAAGGAGCTTTCCACTTTGCTTCCTAAGATACTGAGTTTTTCAGCAAGTTAAAATTTTGTAATGTGATTAATTTGGGGATAGGGTAAAAAGTGGCTGCCAGGTCTAAAAAGACTGCAGACTACTGATGCTTAGTATTTAATCCTATCCACTTTTTTATTTGCTGAGCAGAAGCATTCTTAGGGCTGTTTTTATTAATATCAGTTTTAAGACAACAACATTTCACAGAGTAAGGCAAACTTTCTTAAGTACAGGACGGATGATATTTTGGGGCAATGAGCACATTTGGAAATGTTAAAGTATTATGTGGGTGCATTCACAAAATGACTATCATGAGTGATCTTGCCTCTTCATTAACAACAACAACAAAAAGGCCTAATTACCAGAAGACAGATTGGTAAAACTGAGAACCATCAAGAATGTTCTTGCTGGTCCTAAACTACCTCTATTTTGATTCTGGGCTGTGAGAGAAACCTTCCAACAAAGCGCTAAGTGGCAGACACAAATAATTCTTTTTTCCCTAAAACAGCCTTCTCCATGGAGCTCGAAGCATTTTTGTAAGCCACAACTTCCTTTTTATTTATTTCTAATTATAAAAATTCTTAAAATTGGGGGGTGGGGAGAGAAGGGAGCCTGGCAGATGAGAAGGCAGATACCCATCGGCATCATATTGCTTCCCTATTTGAAGGAAGAAATATTCTGAGTGATGCTCAGAAATGATTGTCCTTTCTAATGATTTCAAGTTTCTGCCCTTTTCAAATAGATCTTTACCCAGAAACTACATTGTAAGCCCTACTTTCAGGCAGTTGAAAACAACAGTTAGAGGAAATGGCGATCATTTCTAGGCACTCTCAATTAGAGCATATATAAGTAAGTCCACAAAGCTGAGAATAATGCTTAAAAATGAGTGTATAATCAATTAAATTCTTCTTGATTGATCAACAAAGTTTTAAGCAAAACACTTTAACATCTTTAAAAATGATTGCTGTAACATATTGGAAAAAAGTGTAAATGACTTTCAGTTTCATGAACTTAATCTGCCACTCAGTAATAATGTGCCATCTTTAATAGTTTCTTCATCTCTTACAACAAGAAATTAAAATAAAACTCCTCCTTTTATTCCTTTCTCAGTTAAAATTGAATTCCTGCAATTAATTAATGAAATTTATAATTTTTAATCTGCCAATTAAAGTAATTGATCTGGTAATAAAACACACACATAGACAAATTAACACCACAAATACAATAAAAAATGCAGGACCTTTACCTGCTGTTGAATAAGTCATCAACAGGAACAGCAGCAAATGGGCAACCACCTTCTCTGAATAAGAGGGAACAGCTATGCCAGAAAAGAAGCGTACAGAAACATCTCTGATGAGCATCCCAAGAACTGTAAGTGAACTATAACTATCAACTATATATAACTATAAACTATATTGCAATATTATGAACATTTCTAACTAGGAATAAGCTCACCAAACTAAGTGAGACTCAGAACTGAGTTGACATGTACTGTATGGCTGAGGTCATACTGATTACATCAGTCCCCCCACCTCTCCTTTTCTGACAATATTCTCTGAAAAGGGGTATTAAATAAATTTGAAATAGCTTACCATTTAAGTATAAAGCTTCCATGATTTAGCCAGAAGCAATATTAAACATAAGGCATAAGACCGATACAGTATCACTTCTTTTCTTACCATAAATCATCTTGTTAATTATTTACTGTCCTCTGACAATGAAACACTGGAGGGTGTGGTAAACTGTCCCTTTGTTGACACAAGTAAAGTTCTTTCATCAAGAAGGCAGTCATGAGACCGGGAGGCTCTGATTAGTTTGAAATCCCTAGTTGAAATGGAAAGTGCCATTTCAACCAGGTCTCTCAATCTCTTTGAGAATCTCAAGAGGAACTAGACAACCCATGACCTGTTGGGTCATTGTTTCAGAGATATTTCCTTACCTAAACAGAGAAAGAGAATGACCAAGGACAAAAAAAGTAGTGGGAGCGTGAGCGACTTACGCTCCAGCTTCCCCACTGATTTTGCTTGTGGGAAGCTGGCAGATAGCATCAGAAATCTTCCTTCCTTCCTTCCTTCCTTCCTTCCTTCCTTCCTTCCTTCCTTCCTTCCTTCCCACAAATAATATAGGCATGAGCTCTTTTCCCTCCCCTCATGACCCTCAAGAGAGTCCCAGTGAAGCCTCCTCCTTCTCCTCAGCTGACCCACAGAACTACCCGCCATTTTGCTGGGGGGAGGTGGAATAAAGGGAACTGCAGACTGTGAGGAGAACAGCACCCACTCCCCATTCTAATGTGTCCCCAAGGGCCCTTCCTTGAAGGAGGAAGCAGGCTCACCCTTCAACCACTGGCACCCCTCAGCCAGCCCTACCTCAGCAGCAGGCATCCAAGTCACTCCCTCATCCTTTCCTCAATGCCCAACACCATTAAGAGATTTTAAATTTCTGCCTCAGTTCCAAAGCAGCCAATTGCCACTCACCCATTGGGCCTTGCCATCAGTTTATTGAGCTCAGGGGACAGAGGGAGCTGGGAAAGAGGTTGGGGATATATGCATGATGATTGTGTGACCTGCGCTGACTGTGGCATGAGATTTCCCCAATTTAAATCCCACTGGAGAGTGGGTCTTGGATTTTGGACACATTCTGTAAATTAGCCCATTTTAGGGACCTTGATTCAAAAATTGTTACCCTATGACACACTGTTTTGCCCAGTTGAAGGTTACAGATGTGAGAGTTTTAGTAGTATATAGATTGGAGACACTAAGAAGTTCTGGACTGCCACCCTTGGAATCCACTACCTAGAGATCATTATATCTTAGCACAGGTGGCTCTTAGACTCTCTTATTTTCCAAGGGAGGAAAGTATTCTACTCCACTCTTTTATGAAAATTCATTCATCAAAAAGTTGGGCTTGTATGGTCACCAAAGGATACTACCCACCTAAGCAATTGCTTGGTGTTTTTTAGCATTTATCATTTGGAGACTTTAAAAAAAAAAAAGGCCCAGGTCAGCATTTATGAAGCAGGAATTTTTATTCCAGTGACTAAATGAACATCAGCCAACAAATGCAGAGACAGTAGAATAATTATTTGGCTTTTATTTAACATCATATGCAATTCTAAGTGTTATTTTATGAGCAGGAATCCTAAAATCAGATGATTCTGAAAGAATCAGATCCATCCAGCCCAGATGGAAAAACCATCTAGATAGCAGTGGAAGAACAGCAGTGGTTCACTAGTCCTAGATTTCAGGCAACACAGAGAGATAAACAATTCATAGATGCATTTTCTGTACTATTGGTGGCTTCTCTTCTGTAAAGAGAATAAGAATGAATAAACAGAGGTGCAAAAAGCCAGATAGTGACTTATATTGCCCATCAGCATCTCTCTTGTGCCCATAAGACCATCCCAATATGCCTGAGACCAGACTCTGGCCTTTATTTGCATGTTATAGGTTGCAGTTGAGTGGAATTAAAGGTGAAAATGGGTGGAGATGCTCAAGGCATTCATTCATTTCACCATTCCTGAAATGTTCTCCCAGAGGAAGAACTGGCCATACTATATTGATTTAGTTCAACACAAGCGAAGAGAAAGGTGTCATGAAAATAAACAATAGAAAGAGAGCAAAACTGTGGTGTGCAACACACAGTCATATTTATAGTTTTTATTTCTTAATCTAAGCTGCATTTCATTTTGGCTGAGTGGCAAGAGTTAATTGGAAAGTAGATCTTTATCAGAATATGACACTGGTTTCCAATCCCCACTGACGATCTAATAGCGTAGCATTTTTACCATAGCTTCATTCAGTTCAAATAATACCAGAGAACATCTGGGAAGACTTTAGAGGTAGATTGTTCCAGCTGGTTCTTGTGAGCTATTCCTTTTCTTGTTCTCCTTCCTACTGAAGAAGCCTTGCATTTATTTCATTTCATACAGAACTGACATTGAATATTTTGGTGAGGGATAAGTTGCTGATCAGCCTGATTTGAAATATGCATTTGGATAAATGGAAATTTAAATTGCAAATATCAATCACACTATAAAAATTTTGCTTGTTTTTGCTTTTGTACTTTAAATTATTTAAATTCAGGTTGTTTGAACATTTTTTAAAAAACACAATAATCATTCAATGCATTGAACAGTTGCATTTACGTAGATATTTTCTTAAGAATAATCATATGAGAAACATGCTTCTGCTTTGTCTATATGCAACTGGATATATGGAAATTCAAACTGCAGATATCAGCATAGCTAAAAAAATCTCCCATGGTTTTGTTAGTATCTTTGTGTTGTTATTGTTATATATACAAAATAGCACTTGTAAAATATACAGTAACCATTACAGGAATGCAGCACAAAACTCATACATTCATTTCATTGAGCATTAATAATCTCATTCTGGTTAAAAGCAACATAATTATAAGCATTCGGTAGATTTCTGGATCTGGAGACTGTATTGGGATAAGATTACCCCTATGAGCAATGCTACCAGCCCCCAAAGTGCATTGGATGAGCTCTACAACTTATAGCAGATTCCCTTCAGTATTTTTAAGAATTCTAGTAGCATCATTACAACTTTGATCTGAATGGAATTGGCTGGAACTTCAAAGCATGTCGCTTCTTAACTGTAGATGCACATATGCCCTTATGTTAGCCAGGTAAGAATGCATCACACTGACAAAAGAGGTCCTCTATCATTGAGGGAGGGTAATGTCATCTGTCACCAAAGAAATGGTCCTGAAAAAAACCAAGTTTTTCTAGGGCCTTAATATTAAGGTAATAAATTTTGGTCTGCTGTAAGCAGAACTCTCAAATTCAAGCTGTGGTCAGATCCAGGCCTGTCACTTTACCAGACAGATTATTATTGTATATACAGTATTTTATATGAATGAAAAAAAATTATGTGAGTGTGAGCTGGAAATCAAATTAATTTTCAGGAAGTCTGTCTGTTTGTCTCAGTAGAATCCTCCATCCAACTGTGTAATGTTTTGGGAAAAGGGTGTTTGCAATCAAAGGGAGTTAAAATAGTCTGTGTAGTTGAAGGTCATTCAAGAGATATCCATAATTAAAGCAGCAACAGGAAGTTTTCCAAAGCCACATGATGTGTGTGTGTGGGGGGGGGGAGGTATCTTAAGTAAGCTGGGAATTCAGGCCATCTGAACATTTGTCCGATCTTGCAAAATCTTGTGAAATAGAGCAGGTAAAATTTGGAAAGATCTCCTCAAAGGCATGTCTTCAGGGCCTGGGACTCAGTTTGACTGAATAACACAAATATCCACCCGTTTATTATATAAAGAAGAGTGGGGGAGTGTTGGGAGGTTGTGATTTTGAGTCTGTCTTGACTCCTGGCAACAGCTTGGACAAGTCCATGTAGTTTTCTTGGCAACATTTTTGGAAGTGGTTTGATATCACCTTCTTCCTATGGCTGGCATAGAGTGACTGACTTTAAGTCCCTCAGATGGCTTTCAGGCCTAAGGAAGGACTAGAACTCACAAATTCCCACTTTCTAGCCTTATGCCTTAACCACTATACCAAACTGGCTCTCATATAAAGTATTATCAAATTTTTAACCTTCAGGCTCAAACTGACTAGTCAGGAAGACCAAAATTTATTTCATCACCTAACTAATAGTTTGATAAGCTAAAGTGGCTTTAAGCCTTCTATTTTTGCTTCTTTAAGCATGTCACAGTACAGACTTGATTTATCTGAATTATTTATTTAAAAATGTATAATATTTTTTCTTCCCAATAGGTCCTTCAAAGCAATATATTATATATACTATATATTTATATAATAAAATAATAGTAGTAGCCTTCAGAACCAAGCTAAGACATGTCTGTTTATCAAGAACTGTTATTCTGCACCTTTTAATATTACTATTTAGTAGGGTTTTTATATGATTTGCACTTATACATAAATGCAAAGTAAACAATAAATTTACTATACAATATAAACCATTATCAGAAATAAATATAATAACAATAAATTTAAATAGTTTTTGTTTTGTTCTTTTCTGGTTTTGAATTATTTTCAGTCACATTAATTTTAAAGTTTTAATAGTTTTAAATATATACAGTATATTTTAGAAGCCTTTTGGTGAGTTACAAGGGACTGCTTCTTCCATAATAAACCAGAAGTTTGGGAAAGACTCTTCTTAAAGTATTCTCATTGCTGGAAGCCATATGTCAGGTACATAGGAGGCAGCCTTCTTTCTCACTGTTCCCAAGCTGTGAATATACTCTACCTTAAGAAGCCCAGCCAAACTACATATTTAATTTTTTTTAAAAATTTATAAGCAACTTGCCACTATGGCCAAGAGCAAGAAATTATGGGAACAGTAAACTGGAGTTTCTGGAAAGCATCAAATAGCTTTCACCTTGTTATTGTCCAAAATTTCAACTACTTTTGAAAATATCACATACTCAGAATTGATTACCTGTTTTCTGAATGGGACAAAATCTTGGCTGACACACTTATTTCCTTGGTTAATTTATCTCAGTGATACATTACACTAATTCAAATAATTATTTTATAGTTCTTTCTGATATCCAGAAGAATTCAGGTAAGAGAAGACTCAGTATATATTTATGGAGAAGGGGACCAAGGATTGAATTCAGGGAAGAGAAGGAATGGAGGTAGCATCACAACATCCTTTGTGGTATTATGTTTTATAGATACTGAAGGA